ATCACGGCCATTGTAATGCTCTACTCTTCTTCCATTATAATCAATTTTAACGAAAGAAAGTGGAAAAAAGGAAGGACGTGTGTTGGGTTCAATTTTCGACTACAAACATTGAGCATAAAACCATGACAGCATCAAAATGCCAGCTAAGCTTACTAAGGCTTAATACATTAATAAAACTAAAAATTCATTCATATTGATAATAAGGCTTAATACATGAATAAAACTAAAAATTACAACCGAAAATCTTTGCCGAAATTTTCAAATCGGTCAAATGAAAAAAAGAGTGTCCTGCACCCTTTTACATTAACTAAAACTAACAAACTAAATTTAATTAAGCGTTGTCGGCCCCCTGTGGTGCCCTCTGCATGATAGCATTCCACCGAGTGACAGCCCAATTCCCAACAGCAGCCCCACACGCTTTCCCCTCAGTGACAGCCCAATTCTTAACAGCAGCCCCACACGCATTCCCCTTAGTGACAGCCCAATTCTTAACAGCAGCCCAACAGGATTTCCCCTTAGTGACAACCCAATTCCAAGCGACAGGGAAGTTACTTGTCACCCAATTTTTAAGAAGTATCCACCTATTCCAGCAATATTCTAAGCATCGCCTAATACGTCTGAAAATACATTTACCTAAAATTGAAAATATAGTCCTCGGATTCTCGATCCCGGCTATTACACTGTCGTGATGGCTCTTGAACAAAAGCACACCAACGCAGGTTGTAATAGATAGACTAAACAACCCGTATTCGTAACCCTTTAATTTTGTTCCCCCGTCAATTAGTTTTATAAAATAAACTAAAATGACACCATTTATTCCTATGGAAAAATCTAGAAAGGATAGGGGCTCTAGGATGTCTTAGGAATAAAACGAAAGAAATTAAGAAATAGGAACAATTCAATAAGGTGAAAAGGCATATGATGCACTCGGGTCAATTATATTCTGTATATAAAGTCCCAAAGCCCATAAACCTAACTCTATTATTTCCCCCACATAACCAATTTCTATGATGGCCACTACTCTCGGGGTAATATTTTCTCTTTGCTTATAGATAACAAAGAGAAAAAATGCATCCAAAAGCATGAATGGAAGGGCAAAAATGAGATAGCTGTCCGATTTCAACACTTTTGACACGGGTGGAATGAACTTAATAGAGGGGATGATAAAAAATGCTTGAAACAGGTTAAACAATACCGTCGCCATGCTGAAAAATATTTCTGGTTCATGCTGAGTCGCATTCCCCTCCGTAGGTTGTCCTGGCTGAGCAGCATTTCTCCCTCCAGAGGTTGTCCCGGCTGAGCAGGGGGCAGAGGCAACATTCCCCCCTCCGGAGGTTGTCCCGGCTGTGCAGGGGGCTGAGCAACATTCCCCCCCTCCGGGGTTGTCCCGGCTGTGCAGGGGGCTGAGCAACATTCCCCCCCTCCGGAGGTTGTCCCGGCTGAACAGGTGGCTGAGCAACATTCATTTCCTCCAGAGGTTGTCCCTGAGCATCATTACCCCCCTCCGGAGGTTGTCCCGGCTGAGCAGGCGGCTGAGCAACATCCACCCCCTCCGGAGGTTGTCCCTGAGCGTCATTTTCCTCCTCTGCAGGTTTTACTAAGTAAACAATGCAGGCATAGAGCACAAACAGGAGGAAAATACCTCCGTAAAACGAAGGTATAATGATAGCCAAATGTTCCATTTCAGAACGGTAGAACAGAGAAGAGGGAGAAAGAAGAAGGAGAGAGAGGGAGTTTACAGAGAAAAGGGAGAGAGGAAGGAGATAGAGGGAGTGAGTAAGAGAGAGAAGGGAGGGAGGGAGAGTGAGAGAGTGAGAGTGAGTGAGCGGGTGACTAGTGAGTGACTGTAGCTGTAAATATAGGACTTCAAACGTGGCAGCTGTCATAAATGGGTACTAAAGATTCCTTTGGACAAATAAAAAAGGAAAACAGAAAATCAAAAAACATGTAGTCATCGTGACCGCAACTGTATACTGGTGCAAAACCTCCTCAACCTAAAACTTAATCCCGCCCTTGCATTCCTTTTGCAATTAACTTTATACATTTTATGGATACTATTACCGTTTTTGTCCATGTAGTCATGCAAGTATGTAGAGAAGCTAAATTTTTAAACCCGGTCACTTATATACATTTTACGCAAAATGTTACTGTTTTTGTTCATGTGTCGTACAAGAATCATAAGACCAGTCATGCAAGTTGAAATAACATATTTGGATATACTCTAAATTCACTTAACTTGTCGAAAGAGAAATTTGAACTCGAACGTTCAAGCCTTCTTTGCATAAACAAATATCATAAGACTTGTCATGCAAGTCGAAACAACATATTTTACAAGTATGATTAATATAAAAATCAATGAACAAACTATATCTAAAACTAAAATACAGAGTTGACAACACATTTTATAATTCAATAGAAAAATATCAGAAATCAAAACATTTTGGTATCAACATAAGTTAGGTGAACACTTTGAAAAAAAAATTATATCGGAAATTCCTAGTTATCAGAATCTCTAAATCCATTCAGATTTTCATTTCAACTTTTTGAAAAAACAATCAGATTCGAAATTTTTGTGTAGAGATTCAAACATTTTATTGTCGAAAATTAAAATCCCAGGACCCCTAGTTGAATCATATTATTTAAATGATTAAGATATCAAATGAGCTGAACTCCAGTCTACCCTGAAATAATAATTTATCTTTATCACAAACCGAATGTCATATCCACCATTAGCTATTTATGGTTGAAACTTCAAGAATTGGAGATAATTAGTAAGTGATAATCGTTTGACACGGAGAATGGTAATATTATATGTAAAACCTTTATTTGGATTCTGACCATAACAAAATTCTTTCTTTCCACATCTTTTATTTGGAAACGCCAGTTGAACCTATGAACTTATGAAAGATGTGACAAGCTATGACTGACTGACTGCGGAGGGCCACAACTTTTATTTACCTGTTGGCGCATTACAGGTTCAACTTTCACAATTGTGCAGGTGGACGTTTTATTTGTTTCGTTCAAGAATCATAAGATCGATTATGAAAGTTGAAATAACATATTTAGATTTGTCCTAAATTCACTTAACTTTTGAAACGAGAGATTTGAACTTGAACGCTCCAGACTCCTTTTCATAAACAGATATCATAAGATCAGCCATTCAAGTCGAAATAAACATATTTTTGCAGGCAATATTAACACACTAGAAAACGTATGATAAAAATTGAGTGGTGTAAGTTTGATTACTTATTCATAAATTTAAGTTTTGTTGTTAATTCCAATCTGTACTTGATGATAATTATGAAATAATTAAGAAAAATAATTCATATTTAAAGTTTTAAATCATACGAAGTTATTTAAGCTCAAATAAAATTTATCTTTTTAAAACCTAGGGAGTTTTGTTAAAACACAAAAAATCTTAAGAGCGATATATATATTAAACAACATTAAATTAATTTAATCATTAAAGTTTTAATCATTCTTAACTCTCTAACCAAACACCAACATATCTACTATTCCTGCAAACCAAACACCGGCTTCTCCCTCACATTTGCCCGGCACCTTGCTCTCCCACAGTACAAACCAAAACAACGAAGCAGCCACCTACTGCTAGACCAAAATTGTTGGAGCAGGCTTGCCGTTGTTATTGAAAGCAATTCCGGAAAAAAAGGAAAAAAAAAAAAAAAAAAGGCGTATGAAGCGGCATTGAATCGGCACCCGAGACCGTCATCTTTGTCATTCCCCTTTGGACAAACAAAAAAACGTGTAGCCATCGGGTATATTGGTGGAAAAAAGATCAACCGAAACCCTAATAGCCAATACCACGAAAAAGAAAAAGAAAAACTTTGAACCAATTGGACTAAGAAAAAAGGAAAATACAAAAACAAAACATGTTGCCAATGTGACCGGTCCGCAACGGTGCACAACATCAAGCCTATTACAAAAATTGGAAAGAAAAAAAAAATACCAAAACGGGGCATATCTGGAAAGAGGGTATAGAGGCATCTGCGAGTGAGGGCGAGTGGGGATATTGGATCGTTATTTCTTGCAGTGTTTGATATGTCTTTGTTAGAAAAATGGACTATATGAAATATGATTATCATTATATTGACGTCTTACAACAATATACAAAGTTATTGCATCAAGACTCCATATGATTTTATATAATTGGATCTCAATGTAGTTATGTTCCTTTTATGAATGATTAATTGTAGTGATTGTATTAAATAAACATAATCACATGATTTATATATGTATTAAGTTCATATAAGTAAGAGAAGTAAACAATTTTCATAAAAATACAAATAAAAAAGCAAATCTTTCCAACTGAAAAAAGGAAACAAAACAAAATTTAATTAAACTAACCTATCAAAGATTGGGTACAAACCATAAAGGTGCAGTATGCAACATGTGCGAAGAACGACTCTTGGAGCTACTAAAATGCCTAATACTCTTATTTGTGAAGGAAAATACTCCAAAGTCACATTTGATTGATTCGTAACATGCGTAATCAAAGGCAAAATAAATACTGTTTCTTTCAACCTTCTGACCATGGGGGTACGACATAACGGCAGAATGGTGGTTGCTCATAAATAATACCCGATCACCAAGTTCAACAACCTCCATCCATTGTGGACCACCATCAATATCACACTCCAGTTTGAACACTCGAAATCCTTTAGTCTTAGGTGGCTCAGTGTAACGAAAGGTCTTTCCAAGCATGATCTTATGCCAGCAAGGATCGGTTAGTGAACTCATTTCTTGTTTAGGCTTGTATGCATAGTCTGCCTTATGAAAAATCATAAACAACTCCATAGATGCAGAATCTTTTGCTAGGTGAACGAAACTCACGGCCTTTGTAATGCTCTAGTCTTGATCCATTGTAATCAGTTTTAACGAAAGGAAGTGGAATGGAAGGACGTGTGTTGGGATCAAGGGTTATCAACTTAACGACCCTATAGCTAAGAGGACCGCCATTGCCTTTGGTGTCTTCGATCATCTCAAATACCATTAAAAACTTGGACTCTAAGGACGTTGTAGCATATAACTTTACCGCCCAGTATGACTATACCATTAACAAAGGGTATTTCCTCATCAATCGAGCTCCATGATTGATCCCTTGGCCTACAATAAGTCAGATGACCCTGTTTGCAAAGACAAACCACAAAACATGGCTCCTGACTGATTGTTTTTGGTTCAGAAGAGGCAATAATTTTAGAAACGGAGAAGTCAGGACCATTGATGCAGCGGCATGGAAGGGTGGACTGCGACGAGGGGAGCATCACTCGATCACCAGATATTGGATTGAAGAAGAAGAATTCTATTTTAAAATTAGGGTTCTGACAATTTTTTAGGTAGAATGACCAAGGTTTCATAAAACCCTCTGGACGCCTCAACGCACTGTCGACCATGATCAACCATCCCTCTATTGAGCCAACACAATCCATCCTATTCATTGTACAATAAAAAATTGTATTTGGCCATGATCGTAGAAATTTATGATCTTTCCAATCACCTGGACTTAAAACGCGATGATCTCTAGTGGACATGGGATGAGAGTTTAACATAAGCCATGGAACTTGATCCTGAGCAAGGGGACGGCGTGACTGAATATTGCTTTTAATAATTGCTTGCCATGAACGGCATACTGCAGCACATCGAACGTAGTCTGATAAGCCCAGTCGTCGTAGAATCAGTTGCATAACATCTCCCGCGAGTTTATTGGACCAGGGGCTGCTGTCCTCTACTTTCGAGATGATCATTCTTCTTCTTCTTCTACATATTATGAAGATGATCATTCTGAACTTCCGGCCAATGAAATCGAGAATGAGCAACACAAACATTCTTGATAGGCGGTAGTATGTTAACATAGGTGGAAGCATTCTTTCAGGATATGCACGAATAAGTGCCAACGATCCAAAAAACACAGTGTAAAAGATTATGCCTTCGACCAAATCCACAATTATACTCTTGTCACGGATTTCTCTGCGGCACATAAAAAAAACATGGATTGTTAGGAACGGAAAGTGTAAAGCTAGCTAGATTAAATGCAGGAACAAAACATAATTCTTCTACAAAGCCGCAATTAAGAACAAAGAATAATATAGTGATTTAGAGCACATTTGCATGTACATATATTGCACATAAAACCTCCAATTGACGAAATATCTTTAGTTTGTTATTAAAATTGCAGACTTTGAAGCTTATTACCATCACGAATGAAATATTTGCAGTTTCGAAATCAATTATCTACAAAGTAACAGACGAGACATACATTAATACTTGATTATCAATCACAAGGGCACTAGGGCAGTAACCAAGTGTGCATGTGATTACCTTGTTTTTTCGTCGAGGTAGACCATCAGGAGGCGCCTCATCGCGAAAGTTTTGAAGAAACCCTAACTAAACTAATTAATAAGGATCTTGACTTGCGTGTGCACCCCTGGTTGGAAATGAGCGAATTTATATATACATATATACGTGCTGTTCCCATGTTTTAAAGTCTTTACGTGTTTATCTCTAATTTTTTGAAAGAGTCTTGGTCTTATCCTTGATCGCTAGTGAAGCTAAGTATTATCACCACTTTGGTTTAATTTATCCAACAAAATCGCGTGTTATAATTTGAATTAAATAAATAATTACACGTGTTTGTGTTGATTCTCTTTCCGTAAACCTTCTTCTGAAAGTTTTGAAGAAACCCTAACTAGCCTATGCCTCTTGACTTGCGTGTGTACCTCTGGTTGGAAAGGAGCGAATATATGCATGTCTTAGGTTCTTATCTCTCATTAATTTCCATTTCTCATTAATCGAAATTTGAAACCTTTCTCATTTTTCGAATCTATCAAGGTATTTTGACTTTTGACCATGTCATTATTCTAATATTAAATTATTACATGTCATCGTATGTCATTTTCAAAAAATGAAAAACTTATTAATGATTTCTAGATGTATCTTTTTAGAATTTTTCATATATTTTTTGTTTTTATTTTTTACTCAATTTTTCAAATTTGTACCAATATTCTTTTTTAATTTCAATTTGTACCCATAATTTTAAATTTTAATATGTGCTCATTTTTTCAATTTAATTTGTACCCATATTTCTTTGTATGTTTCATATATTTCTACTTTTAATTTGTACCCTTTTTCAAATTTGGACCAACATTCTTTTTAATTTCAATTTGCACCCATAGTTTTAAATTTAATATGTACCCATATTTTTTAATTTGATTTATACCCATATTATTTTTTCTGAATATATGTATACCCATGCTAATTACATGGATTTCTTTTATGTTTTACAATATACAAATATTTAGTTTTTAAGAAGTTCTCTAGCTATATATCAAGAAGCAAATTAAGAATTTCTCCAAATGAACATGAATATTGTACACTAATCAATATAATAAATAAAACTGAATTCATTTCCTGGTTCGTAATTCTCAAAGCAACAAATAATGACTTCATCTCTCAATTATTTACACAAATTTGCAGTTGTATATGGATATATACTGAGGAGGAAAATGAGAGTGTAGGTTATGTTATGGTGAGGACTCTGTCACGCTTTTTTCTCTGGTGAGGGTGGGTGTGGGAGGGAATGGAAGAAGGTGGCTTTTCTGCTGCTTTCTGGTTGCGTAGCACATTTTGTGGAATTTACCAATTTAGCCTTGTTTTTGGACTGGTGTGGAAGACCAAGCAATGACCAAGTCAACGCAGGCCCAGCACATATCCCCCTCACGGACATGGATCCCCTTCGGACCATTGGTTCTAATCCACCAAATTTTATAATTTATGAAATTTGATTAAATGGTTACAAATAAAAGTATATTTTAAAAATTATAATAATTTAATGGTTTGATCAAATTTTAATGGTTCGGATTATAGAATTTCGTGGATTAGAACCACTGGTTTCGAAGAGGATCCATGTCCCCCCTCAGTACACCCGGCACTGCACACCAAGCACGACAGCGCTGCAGCGCAGACCCAGCACGGAAGAGAGATACCCATTACCCACTGAAAACCTGCGGATTTTAGCAGCCGCGAGGCGACAGAGAGGCGCCCCACCCGCCGCTGTCCTGTGTTGTCAGCTGCACCTCTCGAAACGGGGGGCGCGACACGTGGAGTTGTACGGCGGATCCGTTTCTGGAAATGTGAGAGTATGCGAATGTGGTGTCGTTTGGTGGCAAATGCCAAATGAGAGTTTAAAAGAGCGGGACCCGTCAAGTCAGATCATTCTGGAGCACGAAATTTTTGACCTTTTGCTGGGTTTTGGAGTGGGAAGGAAGCAAACAGAGCCCATAGGAGGAACCAATTAATAAGCAACTCCAAAACGAGTTTATCGAAATAATAAATATCCTACTATTCTCGTTTGGGATGCAACCGTAACACAAAATTCAGTCTATGAAAATGTGTGTCCTTATTTTGTGCAACTTTTGGATGTTGGATTGCACAATATAACAATGAAAGGTGGAAAGACAAAAATGATGTCGTTCGGCTTCGAAGTAAAAAATTGAGATTCGTTTACATACTCGGATTAAGCTTTTGGTTGGATGCTCATTTACTTTGGTCTAGCTCACCCCGCCAGTTTCATAAAACAAGGTTGATGTGTTTCATTTTTGTTAATCAAGTTAGACGAGTGTAACAACGGGAACTAGTTTTTGAATTTGTCGCATCATTTGGTATTCAAAGCTATGGAACTAAAATTGGGAACCCATATTGTTCCAAGAATACATGAAGCATATATGCTAATTAATAAAAATGATTTTTACAAGTAATTATCCATAAGCAACAATTAAGCTTAGACGGGCTTGGCCCCAATGGCCCGAAGACATAACGGTTCGCCTAAATTCAAGCATTCAATTCAACCAACGATGGACTTGTAGCTTATTTAATTAAGTACTCGACATCTTGTGTTTGATTCTCACCCTTAAATATCGCCGTTTCGATCTCTATCTCTCCCTCTCATCCATGGCTGCTGAATAATTGTTGGAGGATATTTAGACGTAAAGAAAAGAGGAGTAGTGAAACATATAGGAAACTTCCATGTAAAAGAAAAAAAATTATATATCAATTTTAACTTTAAATATTAAATTACGACCATTGGATTTTTATCAAACGGATAAGAACATAAGCTCAGGTAAGTGTCCGAGGAAGAAAATTAGGACTAAACAATTCTTTCCACATTATTTCCCTATATGGTATTTGCTGACCACAATCAATCTTCAATGTTTCACACGGTAATGTTATGTGTTCAATTTTTAATGCTGGTGCATCACGTAATGGTGATTATGGAGGCTAAAATGTTTTTGTAAGTCTTTCCGACCTTCATAAAAGTCGATTGCTTTGACGAAACAACCAGATGCTTCATTTGAAAAATAAAATAAAAATAGCAGAACTTTTTAATTTTTCTATTTATGTCCCATCCTCTAATATATCAATATATATTTATGCAAAATACCATTATACCCCTGCATTCCTTTTGCAATCAACTTTATACAATTTATGGATACTATAACTGTTTTTGTCCATGTAGTCATGCAAGTATGTAGACAAGCTAGATTTTTAAACTCGGTTACGTATATACATTTTATGCAAAATGTTACTGTTTGTGTTCATGTAGCTCGTGTGCATTACAAGTTCGATTTTCATAATTGTATATATGCACGTTTTATTTGTGTCGTACAAGAATCATAAGACTGGCCATACAAGTTCAAATAACATATTTGGATATGCTCTAAATTCACTTAACTTATGGAATGAGAACTTTGAACTCGAACGTTCCAAACTTCTTTGCATAAACAAATATCATAAGATGGGTCATGCATGTTGAAACAACATATCTTTGCAGGCAATATTAACACCAACAACATATCTACTATTCTTGCAAACCAAACACCACCTTCTCCCTCACATTTGCCCGGCACCTTGGTCTCCCACAATACAAACAAAAGCAACGAAGCAGCCACCTATTGCTACAACACCACAATTGTTGGAGCGGGCTTGGTGTTGTTATTGAAAGCAAATCCGAAAAGAATAAAAAAAGAAGGCGTATGAGGTGGCATTGAATCGGAACCCTAATAGCCAATACCACGAAAAGAAAGGAAAAAAGAATTTGTACCAATTGGACTAAGATTAAAGGAAAAAAGAATTTGTACCAAAGTGACCGGTCCGCAACAGTGCACAACATCAACATCAACATCTACTGAAAGCCTAATACCAAAATTGGAAAGAAAAAAATAAAAAAGGAAATACCTAAACTGTGGTGGGCCCACAGTAAAAGTTATTTGAAAAAGGAAGGCAGGTGGGCCCAAAAACTTGTAGGGCATATCTGGAAGGAGAGTATAGAGGCATCCGCGAGTGAGAGCGAGTGGGAATATATTGGAACGTTATCAGCCACATACCAGGTCAATGACATCATAGTCTGATGGGGTACCCACCCCGCAACCGGCTTGTCATTTGCACCCATTGGCAGGGTCACCCGAACCCACCTCCTCCTCCCACCTCAATTGGAAATTTGGATTTTCAATTCAACCTTGTTTAAGCATATATGGTATTATTATCTCCTTAAAAATATTGTTTAATTCAATATCCGATTATCATTTTGACCGTTCTTCTTCTTCTATTACGATTTTATCCATCATAACACACATGATAACTTGGAGAGATTTTTAAAAATCTATCCGGAACAATGTTTGGTGCAACAAAATGTAATAACTCAATTAGTTGGAAATTAAAAAAAAAAATCCATGAATTGCATTGTAACATTTGGTGTAATGTTGTTTGTATGTTATGCTAGACCTATTATATCAGAAAGATCAATCAATTCGAGAGTTTTCATTGTTCCTTTTCAATCTCTCTCTCTCTCTCTTGTTTCTCTTTATATCATCTTCTTTTGAACTAATCATTCATCTTTTGCAATGTAGTTAATAGTTCCACCAGATAGACCGTGTGTACTAAATTCCATCTTCTAGTTTTAGGTTTGGTATGTGATCGAGGGCTTGGTCTTGGAGACTTGTTAGGAGAACTCAACAAATTCTTCTCACATTTAGGTAAGACATTAGCTGGCATCAAGGAGGAGTGTTCTGTGTGCCCATTTCAAAGGAAGTGTTCAGTGTGCCAGGAAAACGGCATGGTATACCAAGTGTTACAATACAAATGGTTGATTTTTTTTTAAAGTATCCAACACTTAATGTACCTGATATATTCTCTGCACACTAAAAAAAATCTCGACAATTTGATATTGTCTTGGTTTTTGTGCTTATGAGCTCGGAGATTAGTTATTACCATAATGGCAAATCTTATTTATTTGTATTTTCGTACTTTTAAGCATATTAAAAACTGCGACACAAAGAGACTTATAATCCATAGGGTTACTGAGCCTACCATGGAGATTTCCAGGTGCAAGTTATGCTCAATAGGGTGAAACGATGT